TCATGTCCCAAATAGCGAATTTTGTGTTTTTTGTCATATTTTAAGGGTTTTAAGTGTGTTAAAGAGCTTTTCAATGCATTCTACGACTATTGAAACATGTATTTTACATTATGAAAAGGAAAGACCTCTCAATTGTTCAAGAACAATTGACATTTTAATTTTGGTCTACATGTATTTACTTCAACTACATATATGGCTTGAAATCCATTTCGTCTTGCGTTAATCGGATGTGCATAATTTCAATAACATGTTTTGTTTACACGAAAATCTGTATACAATTGGTTTACATATATGTACATCATTTGTTTCACTTTTATGAATAGAATATATGTGATTATTTCTAAGACCTATTTTAATGCAATTTAAAAAATTTTTAGAGCCCATATACAATGTTTTATACCAAATAATTTAAGTAGGTGCTCAATGTATAATAGGACTTTCTAGCTAGCGTATATTTTCTATTGATAGTTGTCTCATTTTCATTGCGATTATTTGGGCTGCCATCTCAGTGATGCTCTATTTACTTTGAAGTTTTTGCTTAGTTTACATTTTAAAGTTTGTGTATTGGTCAGTTTAAAGAGAACCGCTAATGATAAGTCAATGGTATTTAGTTTGCAGCTTGATTGGCACATACTGTGTCCACGGGATTGTTTGGCCCTGCATGGTTTACTGACTTTGAATGATCTCCATAGCTTACATGATAAAGAATTGCCATTATTATTTCGAAATTTCTTTTATACTACATGTACAATATACTATCAAAATATCGTAAAGACAGGAAATATCTCTGTGTCAATAATTTCTTTCATTTGAGAATTTGATTATAAAAATGCTAACTGTACAACGGTATAGAAAACCGAATCAGTAAGCACACAATTGATAAGTATTTAATGGTAATTATAACACGTTTTATTGTCTGTCATACATAATGGCATTTATGCATGAAAAACAAATGCTAAACACAAACGCAGAAATTTAGTTATTAATTGTTCCGTATAACGAATAGATAATGACATAAGTGAAGATTATTTTCAAGTTGCAGCTACTGCTTTGAAATGTTAAATCATCACAATTCGCTTTAATAAATGGTATTATATGAATCTGTTTTTATTTTAAAAAAAAAAGAGAAAAAAAAAACATATGACATATTGCCTTGCTGTAATGATTAAGTAGATTTTTAAGATTTTACATGCATGTTGGGATACAGCCATGACAAATATTTAACAATTCTTTTAATGAACTTGTATTTTTCAGAAATATAATAAATAGTTTATAATACTTATAATAGAAGAGAAGGGTGTCCTTAATTATAAAATATTCTTCTATGTGCTGATTCTGGAGGAGAATGGGATGGGAGAGGTTGTCAATCACAAAAATATACAGTATGTTAAACGTGTTGGAAAAATTCTTAATTTTTATAATCACTAAAAGGTCAACAAAAAGCCAATTGCGTGACGTTTGTGACTCAACAATTAATTAGCCGGTGTGCACTAATCAAACAATTTTTTTGTCATTATCCAATTATTCTTAAATTAACGAAGCAACACTTATTGTACAGACTACCCACGCATATGCATTTTACTGTCTTGTAACGTCCTGAATATTTTCCTATCATGTAAATCAATGAGCATTTAAACTACATATTGCACAGCGCAACTGATCTGTTATCTTTTTAATACGTATAATGCATTGAAATTTCAATTGATCTCAAGAGTTCAAAAACTATACCAATATGAACAAGAAATGATTATAATCTACGGATTGTCTTGATAATTTGTAAAATAAGGTCTTGTTACAAGGTAAATTATCAAATGGTTTACATAAAGGCAGCAGTGTTATACCGCTGTTTAATGGTCATAATTTGATGAAGCGAAACACATTAACTATAACAGGAAAACAACGGAAAAACAGAAACACTGAACTACAACGAAAGCAAACGCCAACATACAAAGAAAAGGACTATCTGATAACAACTGCCATATTCCTTGGTACAAGACATTTTAAGAAAGCAAAATGGTGGGTTGAACCTGGTTTTAATGGCTAGCCAATCCTCCCGCTGATATGGCAATGTTAAAAATACCGCTAAAATCACATCACTATGTGACCGCAATACAGTACAAACATGTAAACCACAGAATAACAACGGACACCCCATGAATTTACAACAGCACACAAGGACACAGCAAACGAAATATAAAATGCGCGTCACAAAAGTAACGTATTTTTTGTGACGTTTATATTATCACAGGTAAATTTCTAAAAATAAAATAGATTTGTTTTATTTATAGACAAGTAAAGAATATTAAATTGGGATTGGGTTTGTACTGGTGTTATTTTATGTATTTTTTAACCATGACAAAAATATTAAAATGGAGTTGTGTTGTAATGCTGTTATTAATTGCATTTTCTTGCCATGTTGGATTTTCTTCTAAATCAAAACTGTGTATAAACAAACAAAAATCCTGTGCATATAGTTGCTTTAAACTTAAAATTATTTATAAATGAAATAGCTTATTTTTTATCTTAACTTTTACATACATATAGAAAATAAAAATAAAATAACTGTAATATAAGGCAAGATCATGTAAGACCAAATAGTAAACACACATGAAAACAAACAACATAAAACAAAAACACTGTAAACGAACCACGAGTAACTCGACTATACTGAAAAAAAGACATATGTGAAATGTACCGAAAATACAGAATTCAAACCACAAACGAAATAAACAGACAACAACTCAGAACAAAATGACCCACCGGACCTACACGTATAAGAAAGTAACAACAAAATGCCCGAAAGCGGGATTTATAAATACCAAACCAACAGCGAACATAAGACATAACAAAATATCCAACCGGACTTATAAAAGAAACATCAAAACTAAATACATGAATGTTGAATATATAAATACCGAGACACGTCGAATACCAATGCGAATTTACACTCGGCAATACAGTCATATTCGGGAATTGGTCACGTTCGGTACTAAGCAGACCAGACGACGTAGATGGTTAACCACGATCTAAAAGTGTACCAAAAATACCAAACTCCAAGGTAAATCAAAAAAGGGTGAAGTCCATAAAAACTGATAAAATCAATCGTTTGACTTTATTAATCAACGGAACGAGTTAAAAACAACTGTCATATTCCTGACTTAGTACAGACATTTTCCGTAGAAAATGAAGGGATAAACCTGGTTTTATAGCTAGCTAAATATCTGTTTTGGGTATAAAAAGATGGAGTTGTCTTTCGTATTTTTGAATGCAAAAGTAACTGCTGAAGGTAATACATATACCATTATATAGTCGCCTTAACCAGATTTTCAGATTTAACAATATGTATCTTGCATAGAAGTCGTAATAATGTTTAGTGATTATAGAAATTAAACAAATGATACTAGTATAAGGTACGAACATTAGAATATATCTCTTGGCTACATTCACTAGTTTACAGAAATAACTCAGATATTTTTTTATGAGAGCTGATCTAAAGATCACGGGAGTATGTTTCATACACAATAGTACTTTCAACTGTGAATAGTCGTCACATCATCAATTAAAATGGTTATGACACTAAGTAAAACATAATTTACTAAAGATTCTAATTCTCACTTGGAAAAAAAATGTCATAGTCAGTTTAACGGACATGCAGATACTTAACACCTACTTACACTGGCAAAAATGCCACACGCATGTGAAAGAGACGTTTCATGCCACGCATGTGACACATGTGTGAAAAACACATGTGATACGCATGATACACACATGTGATCATGCGTTTCACATGTGAATCACATGCGTAAGGAAATACACCTGTGATACATGCGTGATTACTACATGTAAAAGGCATGGTGCCTGTATTAAATATTTTTCAAAATGTCCTATTTGTCCAATTACCATGATTGTTGACATGTTTCCCAGTTCTCATGTGAACTACATGCAATTTCTAACACATTTTTCTAACACATGCGTTATACATGTGTTTTCTCTATATATACACACGCAAAATGAAATTAAGGTGAATTGAGCATCAATCACACAAATTCACAGTATTTGAGCATATTTTAGATAAGTTAATGCTAATCTAGTACACATTCTATTTTGATATATAAATATTCTTCTTGGTCTTGACTATGTGTTCATACTTCCATTATATTTTACTTTCTTGATCCTAAACAATACAAAAAATATTTATCTATCAACTCCCAATATCTCCAATGCAAGAGATAAGATGCAATAAAACAAAGAAGGCAAGCAAATATCCAGGTCACCTTAGTTCACTCCTAAAATTTTTTCGGTTATGTTCAAGTCTCAATACTTTTTTTAAAATTCATGTAAGGATTGGTGATTCATTTATAGAATATGTATGCACTAATGTATATTTCATTTTTAATATGTATGTACAAGTCATTTTGTGGTTATCAGCCATGAGACAATCCAATCCCATTATGGAAATAGTCTTACTTGCAAAAGATGCCAATTTTTCTTTTGAAAGTTTTGAAGAAAAAAAGTATTTCACCCTGCCACATATTCCTGTGCCTGTTTCAAGCCAGGAACCTTTTCAGTGGTTGTCTCATCCTAATAAAAAAAAATATTTAAAGAATTTGGTGTTGATGGCAGCTCTTTGATTGGTATAGACTCTGGTTAATAAAGTAGATCATGACATTGTTTAGACACCTGTTCATTGTTGAGGACTGTATGTTAGCACCTTAATGCCTTTCATGTGTTTTTGTTGTGTTGCTGTCTGATTTATTTATACCTCATATCTCATTGTATTAATAAACTGAAATAGAAAGTTCTGTGAAATATATTTTGATATACCATATTGAAAGTCTTGCTGTTATTTACAACCATTTCCTTCTTATTTCATATATCTATTTCAGTTTTTCATTTTAACACCAATCTTAAGGTTAAGGCAAAAAGAAAACAAATATTGACAAACAACAGGCATATACCATTAGAAGATCTCAAAGTTTGGCTGCACAATAAACTAAAAATTCTTGTTATTTCAAATATTTATATAAAAATCAGTTTAAAACATGCATTTTCCATTTTTAGACTGTAATTGTCATGTTGGCACAATAATTTGAATTTGAATTGTATTATATTCTGAGAGTACTTGTGGTTGAAAAAATATACACGATATTTAATTCCATGTGTTTTAGATTTCTTGAATACACCACTCCCATATAATGACTACATGTCTGTTAGTAATGTTAAGAGTTCTCTCCTGCATGTAATTGCTGTAATTGCTATTTGTACCCAAGGCTTCCTTCATACATTTGCACTTATCCTTCTAAGATGTTGCTTGAATGATAAAATCCTGTAATACATTATCAGCCATCAGACTCTTGGAATACAGTTGCTGTAATAAAAATAATAAACTGTAATCACAGAGATATGTCTCGCTTTTTAGTAATTTCGATAATGCAAATGTTGAAATTAAAATAGCAACACTTTAACATGTAAGATTTGCAAATATTCAAAGTCAATGAACCATGACTAAAGGTACATGGCTAAACAATCTCCATGGAAATTAGATGTGCCAATGCTAATACAACGCATACCAAATACCATTGACTTATCATAAGTAGTTCCCTTTAAAAAACCTAAACACAAACTAATACATGTAAACTAAGAAGATTTTAAAGTCAATAAACGATAACTGAGGAGGCGGGGCCAAATAATCTCCATGGTAATGAGATGTGCCAATACTAATACAACTGCATACCAAATATCTTCGACTTACTACTTGTGGTTCACTATAACTAGACTTAATCACAAACTAATACATTGTTGACGCCGCTGTCGTCACCAACGCCAGAAACAGCATACCTATGCCTCGCTTTTTGACTCCGTCAAGCGAGACAAAAACAGCATATATTTTTTGTAAAACATACATCAAATATTGGATTACCAATCAAGCAAAAAATGATAACATCAATTTAATCTCCAATGATTTACCAAACTTACATATATATATATATATATATCGTGTGAACAACTGGAGTGGAATATAATAGTTGTTGTTTATCATATTTATTTTTCGTTTAATGTCTTTTACGTAAATTGGAATTGTATTACATCTGTAATTTCAGGACCTTTTATAGCTTGCTAGATGCAGTATCAGTTTTGCTCATTGTTGAAAGCTGTTCATACAGTGATCTATAGTTGCTAACATTCAGTCATTTGGACTCTGGTGGATAGTTGTCTCATTGGCAATAATACTACTTATCCCCGGCTTAGTATATTTCTAGGAGTTTGATTGGTTAACGCACGTCGTTACAAAACCCATAGCCCCTGGGTGTTGCTAACCCATATCCCCGGACGTTGCTACCCATTACATCGGGGAACTTCACGCCCGTTTTCCTTAGTTCCATGGTTGTTCCTTACATATCGAATTATGAAGATTGTCCATGATGTCTGTATAATTAGATACTTAATCCACTAACGATTTTATCTTATTATATGTCGCCTTTGATTATTTGCACTCATTTTAGTAAATGCATCACTGTGCTGCCACATTGTCAATGAATGGGACTACTGAAATAGCTATGCAAATGACCCACGTTGACGTCACGCCGTCTATGATGCAACTCTCACAACATTGAGCGCCAAATTCGACCCATTCCAGTTTCTCTGTCTCCTCTAAAAATGACCAGATTTGGACTAAGACCGGGGATAAATTTGTTATCTACGTTCATATCCGTAGATATGGATATTTTAACACCCTTCAGTACCCTGTACACCCTTCGGCTTCGCCTCAGGGTGTACTTGGATACTTCAGGGTGTTAAAATATCCATATCTACAGATATGAACGTAGATAACTTATAAAATTCTCATTTTTATCAACATAAATTACCGTAATAATGAAAACTAACTCTATTCATGCATGTGTACTACACATTACCTGTATATATAATATATACTAGAATACTCCGGGACATCATGGTGTTGTGACTGAAGCAAAGTACCTTAGCCTTATTTTTAGCCTGAATTTTAAGATTTTTTCGTTTTATCATCTAATAATGTCATGCTGGTCATTAGGTGCACAGTTTTCTCTGCTTTCAAAATCTTTCTTTTTGAACCCTTCGACCCAGAACTTGTAAATTATCTGTAGTAATAATTATGTGGAAAACAAATGGGCCTGGAATGGTGTAATTTTTAATCAACACCATTGTCCTATATATATAAGTTATAAATAAAGTTGAATTCTTTGAATCGTCATTTTTATGTCATGCCGGCTCACAAATTGGACCTTGTTATTTTAGTATTATAGATCTAGATTACTAAGTGCTTGTAGAAACACAATTCCTCATTTTTCAAGCCCCTTTCTTACATGTCTTATCCTCATTTAAATTACAATACCAACTAAAAGCTCCAAGGAGCCTGTGTCGCTCACCTGATATTTTTTTTATTTTACAATTGATGCATGAAATAATGCAACCAATATACTTTTGCTTTAGTTTCAAAGATATAAGTCAATAAAATGCTTCGCTGGGGCGCAGCTTGATACGACCGCAGAGGTCGAACCCTGAACAGTTGGGGCAAGTATGGACACAAAATTCAAGCTTGATACAGCTATGACTTTGGATTGTCATTAAATATTTGACACAGCATAGGTTTCTGACACAGGATGAATGTGGTGTAAGAACTGGAAAAAATTTAATTTACCTATTATGGTGGAATATCCATAAACTAAATTGTTTGTTAATTTCAATATATCAAAGAATATGTAGAATTCAATGTTTGATGTAATGTAATAAAGTTGAAATTTGTGGACCAATTTGGTAACATGTATAAATAATCAAAAATCTAAATACATGGGAGCCCATTTAAATACATCATAAAGGTATTAAAATAGAAAGTGACATCATAGTCATGGCTAAAAATAAACAAAAATCCTTAATCAGCAACATTTAAAGTAATATCTAAAAATAAAATTCCTTTGTAACCATAAAAGCCCATTTAAATACATCACAAAGATATTAAAATAGAAAATGACATCATAGTCATGGCTAAACATAGCAAAAAACTCTTAATCAGCATCATTTAACAGTAATATCTAAAAATGGAAATTACATCATAAAGGTATTAAAATAGAAAATGACATCATAGTCATGGCTAAAAATAAACAAAATCCTTAATCAGCATCAGCAACATTTTATAGTAATATCTAAAAATAAAATTCCTTTGTAACCATAAAAGCCCATTTAAATACATCATAACAGATATTAAAATAGAAAATGACATCATAGTCATGGCTAAACATAGCAAAAACCTTAATCAGCATCATTTAACAGTAATATCTAAAAATAAAAATTTCTTTGCAACCATAAAAGTAAAATAGAAAATGACATCATAATCATAGCTAAAAATAAACAAAATTTTTTTTTATTGGCAAATTTTAAATGGAGTTTATTATACTAAAACAATAAATTTGCAACCATAAACATGATAAAACCCCATTTAAACACATCATAAAAGTATTAAATAATTCAACTACATCATAAGGCTATAAAAATAGAAAATGACTTCATAGTCAAGGCTAAAGGTAAACAAAAAACCTTCATCAGCAAAATTTTATATTGGCAAATTTCCAATGAAGTTTATTACACTAAAATTGTTGGCAAATTTCCAATGCATTTATTAACAATAAAGTTATTGGCAAATTTCCAATTTACATAATTTAAAAGCAGTGTAGATGAGATATTTAAATGAGTTTGAATTACCAACCTTACACTGCTTTTAAATAATGTTCTTTACTCAATTATTTGTCTATTAAAATGGAAACCCTTGTTTTTTAACCTTTTTTCCCCTTATTCCTTAAACATTAGAGCCATAACCACACCCCCCCCCCCCCCCCCACCCCCCCAAAGCCAATTATTACTTTCCAATGTAACTTAAATTTCCAATATACATAATTTTAAATTTCAATTCCTCATGATATATAATCGTATCATTATTATTTTCTTTCATATATAAATCTGAAACAACCATCTTTAAATGGAAAATTTTAAAGAAAAAAAAATCCTTATTTTTGACCAATATTTGGCCCCTTATTCATAAATGTTTGAGCAATTAACCCCAAAACTCAATTCCTACTTTCTCTTTGTGATAAAAAATAACTAACTTAAAATGTAAATTTTAAACAAAAAAAAAATGAAAAAAAAAAAATTAACCCTTTTTTGACCCCGCCCCCCTTATGATTCGTCACCCCCACCCCCCTTTCCCCCCAAACCAAGCTCAATAACAGCCTTGCCTTTGTGGTATGGTACCTTGTAATACAATTTTAGAGAGATCCATACACTTGAACACAAGTTATTGTCTAGAAACTAAAAAATGCTTATTTTAAACCCCTTTTTAGGCCCCTTATTACTAAACATTTTGGGCAATTACCACAACACTCAATTCCAGCTTTCCCTTTGTGAAATGGAACCTTGTAGTAAAATTTCAGAAAGATCCATACACTTACACACAAGTTATTGTCATGAAACTAGAAAAATGCTTGTTTTTTGCCCCCTTTTGGCCCCTTATTCCTAAAATTTTGAGGCAATTAACCCCAAAATCAATCCCAGCATTGACCCTTTGTGATATGGAATCTTGTGGTACAATGTCAAAGAGATCCATATGCTAACACACAAGTTATGTCTGGAAGTTACAAAAATGCTTATTTTCGGCCCCTTTTTGGCCCCTAATTCCTTAACTGTTGGTACCATAACCCCCAAAATCAATCCCCACCTTCCTATTGTGGTATTGAACCTTATGGTAAAATTTCATAGAGATCCATTCACTTAAACTAAAGTTAGAGTGCGAAAACCATTGTGTATTCGGACGACGACGACGACACCGACGCCAACGTCATACCAATATACGACCTCAAAATTTTTTTGCGGTCGTATAAAAACTGCATTTTCCCCCCTATGTTCTATTTTTAAACTAGATACCCTAATGCTTATTATGGCCAAGTTTGGTTAAATTTGTCTCAGTTGTTTCAGGAAAAGACTTTTGTAAAAGATTACAAAAATTTACGAAAAAATTGTTAAATTTGACTTTAAAGTGCAATAACTCCTTATGGGGTCAATTGACCATTTTGATCCTGTTGACTTATTTGTGAATCTTATTTTGCTGAACATTATTGCTGTTTACAGTTTATCTCTATTTTTTAAACTAGATACCCTCAGGATGATTTAGGCCAAGTTTGGTTTTATTTGGCCCAATAGTTTCAGAGAAGATTTTTGTAAAAGTTAACGGACGACGACGGACGCCAAGTGATGAGAAAATGATGCAATTAACAGCAAAAGTAGGCGAGACACTGGGTTCTGCGGAACCCTTACGATTTTTTTGAAATTGCCTTGGAATTCAGTATTTTTGTTATACCATTTGGAAATTAAATACTGTAACAAATACATACCAGTTACATTTATATGTACTGTAGCTATAGGGTCTCCTAAATATCTAATCCTGTTGTTAATTTCATTTAAACATATAATGTATATAGATTCTCTTCCACTTACATCTGAGGAGCTAATTCTGAAAATTAAAATTCCTGTGATTATCATATAAAATCTTAACTTGATGCAGTCTGCTTTCCAATAAGAATAAATTAGGAATACAGTTATCCCTTGGCAAAGAGAGAGAAAACAAGTGATATTTTTATATTATAACCAATACTGCACATGGTAATTGGAACATCACTAGTTTTCTGGATTGGATTGTTGCTCACTTTGTCAGGATCTTTTACAGCTGACTATATACTGTAGAAACATTAATTTTCGTGGGGTTAAAATTTCGTGGTTTTGTCTCTTTACAAGATTTCATGGGGATTTAATTTCGTGGTTTCCAGTAAATGGAAGTGATATTATATGTAGGTTAAATTTTCGTGGGGATTTTAATTTCGTTGATATATTCTTTCCACGAAATAAACGAAATTAAATCCTCCACAAAAATTTCTGCTTTTACAGTAGTATGGTTTTGTTCATTGTTGAAAGTCATACAGTGACCTAAATTTTTTTACATCCTCTTTGACTAATGGAATGTTTTCTCATTGACAATCCTACCATACATTGTGAGACCTTATTTATAAAATACTAAAAATTTCAATCTGTGACAATAACATTTTATTAATTAAATAAGGTAATCTGATCAACATTATGAAGCAATTTTCAAAACACTCTGTCATTGTCTGACAGCGATCAAAGTAATTTTAACTTCTATGACAATGTACAATGATGTATATATGTGCAAGGCTCAAAACTAAGTATTACAACTAAATTCATACATATATCTATATACATTTACAAGGTACTTAAAAAATAAGCGAGACTGATGCATAAAATGTAGGTAAAAAAAAAATACTTTTGTTGGATCCTGCATCATAATTATTACAAGTTAATGAAGGCAAGTCATAATCATTGAGTACATGTACATTATATTATTTGAACTTAAAGTAAAGGATAATCTGATTAGTCTCTAATCAGTAATGAAGCCACACAACACTGTGTGATAACAGTGACATACAAGTCTCCCATAGATGCACATACTATTATTTTAGGTCTTTTGTATATATATGTTTAAGGTTACTTAGAATTGGCTGTTGACATACATGTACATGTACACATGGACTGTCAGGCATGGAGTCATTGGACCCTAGGTTACTCCAGTTCATTATCAGTCACTATCAATAGTCAACTCCTCTGTCCATTTGTTGTAATACAATGTACAGCTGAAAGGGAGAAAACAGTACTTTATTAATAGCATGTGGATGCAAGACTATAATAAGTATTCAAAGAGTTTTGCAAACAATTAGCTTATCCATTTAGGAGAATTCTGTATTTACCTAGTGATGTGACAGTAAACAGTGGCGGATCCAGAACTTTTTATAACTAAAGGGGGGGGCCCACTCCAGTCATGCTTCAGTGATTCCCTATATAATCAACCAAATTTTTACCACAAAAGGGGGGCCGCCCCCCCCTGGATCCGCCTATGGTAAAATCAAGTTTAATGAAGGCCAAGCTTAAAATACAATACAGTTATCTACTTTCTAATGCAGCATATTAAAATAAATACCATTTAACAAATATTTTGCATTGTCTTTAGCAACTAAACAATGTGACATCATATGCGTACTCATGATGTCAAACATAAAATTCTAGAAGTACATTTTATTTATACCTTTCGTACGCTTCAGAATGGTTTCAATGTTGACAAAAAAAATGGAGGACCTTTCACTGGACTGAAAATTTCAAATAGTCCAGGACCTTTCATTTTTAAATGCAAATTTTAACCCCTGCATGTAGACCAATTTGAAAACCTGGCCCAAAATAAATAGACAGCTGCACCATGAGCACATGATACACCAATCGCTTATTCAAAGAATAAAGTTCAATAACTTTTCAATGTCATAATCAGACATTCATGAAAAACTAAAGGGAGGTTATCTTAATAGATATAAACCAGTCACCAAAGTTTCATGATAACTGCTCAAAGCATTGTCTGAAAAATGAAAATCCCCCTTTTTTATGAATAAAATCACATAACTCTGAAACATAAAATCTAAAATTAATAAAAACCAAAAGGGAGCTTATGACAATAAATATAAACAATTCACCAAAGTTTTATGAAAACTGCTGTAAGCATTTTTGAGTTATTGTCTGAAAACTGGAAAATCTCCCTTTTTTAAATGAATATAACCCCACAACTTGGAAACATAAAATCTTAAATTTATAAAAATCGAAAGGGAGCTCATGTCAATAGATACAAACAAGTCACAAAAGTTTCTTGCCATTTGGTGAACACATTTTGAGTTATTGTCCCAAAACTGGTAAATCCCCATTTAAAGTTTTTTAATGTTTTTTGGATATCAACAACTTTGTCAAACATACATGGAATTTTGACATGGAATTAGTTATATCTGCACACAAGAACACACATTTGTATGTGTTTTTTCTGCATAAACATGTAATTCATAATTTATTAAAACTTCCGACATAGTCCCATTGTGCATCTCTTTTTTATGCCCTTGTCGTAACGGAGGGGGCATCAAGTTTTACACTTGTCTGTCTGTACATCCTTGCATACTTGCATTGAGAAATAGGTTTTATACCCTTTTGATATATTGAATATTTTGACATTACACAGTCATACTTTTCTTAAGACTGCATAAAATGACAAACTGTGAAACATTGTTACACTAAATCTGTTGAATGTAAACTGATAGATATTTTAGTTTGGGAAAACATGTTTTTTGCACCTTTTTTTATTATAAGACCTATTGATGAATCCAGTCCTTTTTGGCTAATTTTGAAAGTTGGTTCTTATGTTGTTTGCTGTCTGCCATTACTGTATGTAGTTTATATTTTTCATCCTTGTAGGTTACTTTATGGTATTGATTTTGTTCATTGTTTAAGGCTGTACATTGACCAGTAAATGTTTACATCTTTGTCCTTTGGTCTATTAATTGATAGTTGTCACATTGAGGATCATACCTCATCTTTTTATATTTATATGCTAGGTCATTGAAAAAGCTCCAAGGATACAACATAATTTAATTGTTATATATTTGCAAATTCATTCTGATAATGCAAAAACATAACTTGATTGACTTTTTTTCTTATTTTAATGTCCAGAGGCAAATATTTTATGTATTCTAAACGAGAACAACTTATCATGATCAATTAATAATATAGGCCAGTCTGACAATGCTTGTTTTAGACCCTTTTTGGTCTCTAATTCCTGAATGGTTTGGGCAAATACCCCCAAAATGAAACTTAACCTTCTACTTGTGGTACAATTTCATAGCAATTAAAATACTTATAAACAAGTTATTGTCCTGAATTTAGAAAAATGCTTGATTTGGGCCTTTTTTGGCCCCTAATTCCTACACTGGTTGAACCATGACGCCAAAAATAATCCCAACCTTCCTTTTGTGGTATTGAACCTTTAAATCTAAATTCATAGACATTCATACACTTAAACTGAAGTTATTGTCCGGAAACCAAATGTCTTCGAACGAGTTGATAGCAATATACGACCTCAAAACTTTTTTGCTGTAGTATACAATATGGTTGTTCTTTTAAACATTTTCATAAATAATCTAAAAGAAATGTAGACCAGTTTGGGATTGCTTGCAATGCAATTTTCATTACATTAAACAATATATATTTCCACGGAATAACTTCTGTAAACCTAAATTTTAATAGCACTTACTTTCTAATTCATACATTTCAAAGTGACATTATTCCTGTATAAATTGCCAAATAAACGGATCACCGATGTAATAATAAATCTTAATTATAAATTTAATACTAAACAGAAAACAATGAACTTGCGGAAAAGATGGTATACCGCCAACAAAAGGTGCAAAGGTTTTATTTCTTGGTTTCCTTAAACTGACCTCATCATGAATATCAACAATTTTTTTACGACTATGCCTCTATTGAAAACAGCATGCCTAAGTCACAGCTTCATAACTGTTGTGGCTAGACAAAAAAGAACAAGCGATTAAGAGAGCTTTGAATGCAATTTTCTATAAAAATGACCTGTAAAAAAAATAAATTTGTCACTTCTAACATGGATAATTTTCGAACTTGCCCACAACATTACAAGAATCAAACTTTAAACTCTTTGACCTCAAACTTTTAAAAAAAATCTTCGAAACTGCATGTACAGAGCCTGACAAGAAAAAATTATTCAAACATAGTTATCATTTTCATTACATACCTCTCATCACAAAATTATTCATTGACTACTGCTCCTCATATCCACATAAATCAATAGGACAATCTATGACTCCACTATATAATCTAGAAAGCAATGCCTCAAATGAATTCTGTCCTGTTGCTTAGCTTCTCCTACTTCTCAAAGTAATTGTACTTTCGTTGAAAAAGCTAAAATAAATAATGTTTAATAAAATGAAGTTATAATACAATGTATCTGCCAAAATTGCCTTTAATATTTAGATCTGGCAAAATTGGCTTGCTTTGATCTTTTAAAACTAGACCAACAAACTTTCCCTGAAAAAAAAATGACTACAAAAAAGTATTTAATCATTTTATTAATGTTCTAATCCATCATATAAATTCCATATGACCCTTGAATGAAGGGATGAACAAAAGTGATTACATGTACAGTATATATTACAGGATCTCTGAATCTGTCATGATTTATAATGCCAATCTTTGGGGATTAAGTTATTAATAATCATGATACTTTGAAATTTTAAGTCATTCAAAGTTGTTTAAATTACACCAAAAGTTGGACTATTTTATATAAGGTAGTATCTGAGAAATGGACTAAACCAGGCAAGGTTTGGTGGTAAATACATTGTACATGTACAATGTACTTTGTTTTTGGCTTTGAACTAGGTGTTAGTAACTGGGAGTACTCTCAGATCTGAACTTGGTCTTTTTTGTTGTGGGGATGTGTAAGTACCCACCACGTCTTGTGTGTGGTTTTGTTAGATGTCTTTCTACTTTGTATAGATCTGATGAGTTAAGTAAGCCCTTTTCACATAAATATACCAGATTAGGAGGTGGTTTCGGCACCACAAACTACTAGTCTAGCCCCACCCCATCCTGTACATATTTGTATGTATGTGCCTGTCCCATGTCAGGAGCCTGTAATTCAGTGGTTCAGTTTGTCGTTTGTTGCTGTGTATCATATTTTGTTTTTTTTGTTCTTTGTTTTGTATATAAATTAGTCTGCTAGTTTTCTTGTTTGAATTGTTTTACAAATTTATCATTTTCATTTGGGGTCTTTTATAGCTGACTATATGGTATGGGGTTTGCTCATTGTTGAAGGATGTACAGTGACCTCTAGTTGTTAACTTTGATGTCATTTGATCTCTGATGGAGTTGTTGTCTTTTCTCATTAGTGTAAACAAGATTTTATTTTGAAAATAATTAGGTTATTTAAACATTACAATATGACAGTTTTATTAGGATTGGAAAACAAGTGAATTTTCACGGACTTTTACCAATTCCTCTCTTTTCTCATTGGCAATCATACCACATTTTCTTATTTTTATATTTACATTACGTACATGTAAAGTAGATCTTTCATCTTCTGTAGGTGTCCGATTCCTAAGTACATGTACAACAGGGGGCCCTAATTAACAGCATGATTTTGAGTCGGCTAAAAAACAATCAGATAGATTATGATACAATTAACAGGTTTCTTTGCAATTATTTTGCAAATAACTAAGCTAATGCAAGAATAAAGTTATTATCCAATAAATACATAAATTAAATAATAGTAAATAATGAATCTACAATTATATTTTAAGAAGTGAAACATCATTTAAATTCAATAAATATCATATATTAAATTTCAATTTTTTTTTTAATTCTGGGTAGATAAGTTTTCATTTTTTTAAAGTACATGTAGGGCGAGTTGGTAGACCTTTATCTGTTTATAATATATTTATTATATATTATCATGATTATATTCATTTGGATTTTACCCAAGTTAGGCAAGTTGCCACTGTTGGCAGGAGTACATTGTATATTTAACAGGATTTAATCCTTTTCACAAGTGGGGCGATTTTTTTTTAATGTGGGGCAAGCAAGTTGGTATGAAGGGAGCTACCACTTGATTTTGTGGGGGGGGGGGGGGGGGGGGGGGGGGGGGCTAGGATGAAAATGTTATGAACAGTTATCCTGCATTGTTTTTAGTTGTAATATCTGTCCTGACAGTTTATTATTCATTCTGTTCGATACTGGCTTTTATTTTTTTACTCAAAACTCCTGTCCCGCATTTTTTCAAATTCCGTCAAAGCCCCCTCTCCCATAAAAATCAAATGGTAGCTCCCTAAACAAGAGTGGAGCGATTTTAAAATAATGGTGCGTTTTGCCAATTGCAATGGGGCGAGTTGACTTGCTTCCGTTTTTGCCAATCTTTGACTGATTTTCGGGTTTATACATGCATGACATGGATAAAGTCAAATGGTTTTTCGTGAAAAGTATAGCACTAGCATCTTCCTAAAAATGCGCATGATTATATTTACATTTCATTGCGCTTTCCAAGTACAATAAGTTGGTACGTAATCCATCAAAACGAAACACTTTCGTTGCGTTGACTTTCATTCCCCGGATTCAGTTAATCGACAATGTAAGTTACTAACCCATTTCAATATATCTGTTTATAATAACTTTTTGATCCATCAGTTTGAAAAATCAAAGGTCTTTGTATCAACTATCTGACTATCTTTGTCCATTCTTTTAAAACATGAATTCAGCAGCAGACGAGCGTCCATGGATTTTGCGTTATAGTATAAAAACGACAACGGTGAAAAGATTTCCGGGTTTCCGTATTCGACGTGCCAAGCTTTCGTACATTTACGTATATATATGAGAGTTAGTCTGGAATCAAGAATGGGGATTTAAATAAGGACACAAAAAAAAATATAGATAGTTGAAAAGCAAAAATATAGAAAGAAGGATCATAGAGAATAATTGAGTATACTTAATTATGACTGAGAATCATGCAAAGACATTATTCTCATAGCATATACATGTCTCTGGAAGAATTGAGAATAAAGAAAAACTAAATAAAGAATATTCAATCATTTATATATTATTTATAACTCATTCACATTTTGTTCCATTCAGAATTAAATAACTCTGCTGAGGGGGGCATGGGAAGTTTGGAAAATTGACAAACGATAATTACTCTAAATTCTAATCAGAGGAGAATTAAATGTTAGACAGTTAGAGTGTAATAAATAAAATATAAACATATATTTTTCAAAATGATGTCACAGAAAACACAGATTTTTTTTTATTACTAATAAGATTCTGCAATTTGAGTATCTATGTCCAACAGATGTCAGTGAATTAGAAATTTTACTAATCTGATAGACGTTTAGTTAAGAATCTGTGACACGTTCTTTTGTAATATTATTAGGAAATTGCCTACCGCCTCCTTGATTTAGAATTGCATACTCTTCAAGATTAAGGTAGCCTACACAAATAACAGCCAGTTTTGGACTTGATCTTTTTGGCCAAGGTTAAACAATATATTTTGTTCTATAATTTTCAACTCATGAACTATGCAAATATTTTTAACACTATCTCCTCATGATATTCGACGAAAAGCTCACCAGATCTTATCTTCACATGTTTGCCAATATGGCGAATCAAATCAAAGTTTTACTTACTTAATTTCAAGTTGGCAATTACATGTATACTGCCACATGTTGAGCAGAAAGTTCCTAACTTTATCATTCACAATACTTGAGTTCACCCATGTATTTTGGAGGTTCGTGTTGCACATAAAGGCGGATTTAGAGCACCCTGCCCCTCCCCTTTTTGTGGCAAAAATTTGATCTATTATATCGGGAATCACTGATGCATGACTAGGGAGGCCCCCTCTTTAGCAGTCAGTTGGCCCCCTTATGAAAATTTCTGGATCCGTCAATGGCACAATCTTTAGTTTTTATGTAATGTTAAGCCCAACGGTTACTGGGAATTTCTGTACAGTATTTCATACCAAGGTTGTTTGGGTATCACAGTTTTAAAATGTTATCACCGTTGATCCAATAAACAAATCCTTGGTTGATCTATTCTTAAACAACTTCTTTCCAGTAGTACCCTCACAATGGTATTAATGACATTAATGCCTCCAACCTGGGACTATTATGGAGACTATTATACAATAGTCCCAGCTCCAACACTGATCATTGATATTTATGTTCCCCTTATAAATAGAATAGAGAAATTGAGGACATTTGTTCCACATTTTATGAACTTTGAAAAAACACAAGCACATGTAACTTTTAACACCACCTGCGGGCAAGTGCCTGCAGGACACTGATGTGGTGGCAAGTGGGTGGTGGTAAGTCAGTGGCGGATCCAGAACTTTTCATAAGGGGGGCCCGCTGACTGACCTAAGGGGGGCCGCTCCAGTCATGCTTCAGTGATTCCCTATATAATCAACCAAATTTTTCCAACGAAAGGGGGGCCCGGGCCCCCCAGGCCCCCCACCCTGGATCCGCCTATGTAAGTTTATAACCGCCGTTACAGTAAACCCCTCTCAACCCACCAAATGCTTGCTTGAAACACAAGTAAAATATAAGCAGATAATTATATCCTTTGCTTTTATTCCACACCAAAGATGAAGAAATGTATGATAAAGTTATAATGGTATATTATTCTGTACATTGTATAAGCCTAAAAATTAAAGGGACGAAAGTATGTAGTGACTATTGTTTGTCGTGATTTAAACACGATAATAGTGTTGCTTTCCCCTTTATCTTACGAGCCGTATTGAACAGGACAGAATACCTCAAACACTCTGAAACTTTTCAAGTACTTTCTATATGCTCATGTGTATTATATTGTTAGCATAGTTTTGTACTTGGACAGATAATCAGAATGGTCAACAATCAAGTTTTGACAATGTTAATTGGTCACGTTTGTTTGAACTACCAAACCAGGTAATTTTTAAATTTACACTTGTACAACCCAATGTCAATGTTACATACAATCAGTCATTTTTGTAACACAAGGGTTACAAATAAGAAAATACTAAATAAAATATGCAAATTTATAATTTAGTTCCATAACTGTATGAAGCACCTATGACTTAAATATATCTACTGGGTGTATCTGTCTGTCTTTTGAAGTTTTGTCCAAGATAGTTGGCAGATATATAGGAATAAAAAGAGATGTAAGGTTATTGTGACACACCTTTGAGAAAGTTATTCAAACAATAATAACAAAAACACAACACAACACATCTAGATATTCCAAGTTCTAAATCATATTTTTTCAAAGTGGTGAAGATCAAAAGATCTGCAATTAACACCAAATTCTCCCAATATAAATGCATACTTCTTTTACCTGTGTATATCATATATGTATTAAAAGAAATACCAATGAAAATCTTAATTAAAATAAATGTTTAAAGATTGAACTTTTAATTGTTCAAATAAGAAGAACATTTTATGGGGGAAGGGGGATGATTCACAGAATCCCCTGGCCTACTCCCTCTAGGAATTATATATAGAGAGAGACTTTTTACAAGTCTAGTCTCACTTTTTTTTAAGGATCCTGGACCCATATCTGACAATTATTGCAATTTTATTTACTTTGCCTTTTTTTACTGCGATTATTTTCCTAAGCTGATTGGATAAAATACCATTTATTATGGTGACAATTAAGGATAATCAGGGGCTGATCCAGCCATTTTTAAAAGGGGGAGGGTCCCAACACAGGATAAAAGGGGGGTTCCAATTATGTTTCCCTATTTAAATGCATTGATCATTCAAAAAAAGGAGGTTTCATGTGAAAATATTTTTTTTAAAAGTAAAATAAGATTTTCAATGGAATATATGTCTTACAAGGTATTAGATGTTAATAAACAAGTTTTAATTTTGATGTTAATTTTTTTCAACTTGGACACAATTAACTTTTTTTTCATGTGAATTTCACATGAAAAATTTAACGTAAAATTCATGTGAAAAATTTAACTTAAATTCACATCAACAAAATTTTCCTGTGTAACACATGCGTTACACATGCGTTACACATGCGTTTGACTATACATGTGTTACACATGCAAATATCGCATGTGTCACATGCGTTTTCCAACACATGCGTGACACAGGTGTTTTTGTGATACATGCGATTCACATGCGTGTATTACGCATGTGAACGCATGTGTACCACGATTGATTCACATGCGTGGCAAGAAACATGTGTATTACGCATGTGACACACCTGTGACACATGTTTTTTTAGGTACATGCATGACACATGTGTGGCATTTTTGCCCTAGTACTGATTAGTTTGTATGCATAGGTTTAATTCAATTTTAATTTAACTCGGTGCTCTATTTTCACAACTATTTGAATTGGCTACGATGAAGTTGTCCGAATTGATAGAAAAGAAATTTTATTTTAACTCTGATTTTATTTAGTTATTAAGAAACCATAGGTTTTTGCCAAGAAATATATCAAATTTCCGTTTATCTGTTTGCCTGATTCGAGGTTCAAATGCACTACTACGTTTTCGTGACATCGTTGTGTAATTAAGAGAAAAAACAAATTCCGATTAAATTGGTTTATCTATGAGAATTGTTTAGTTACTATTATCTCACAAAAGCAAAAGTCCAAAGATTTTAACTAATTGGGAACTGGATGCAGAGTGATCTGATTTACATAAATGATATCTTAGATGATCTATGATGAGTGTAGTTACTAGTATCTCACAAAAAGTAAAGTCTAAATATTTTAACTAATTGATAACTGGATTAAGAGTAATCTGATTAACATAAAAGCTATCTTAGATGATACAATGTCATTATCGGAAAAATACAGTCTAAACAAATTAAAGTTCAAAATAAACTGGATCGCTAACTTTCATAATTTAAAACAAAATATTTCAGGAGAATGGCTCCAAGTTAAGACAGATAAGTGTAATTTTTGTAATCAAGGAAAAGATTATGCACACTATTTTCTATATTCTTCATCTTCGTACTTTATTTGGCATTTTATCATTTTTTGATTCGAGCGTCACTGATGAGTCTTTTGTAGACGAAACGCGCGTCTGGCGTAAATATACAATTTCAATCCTGGTATCTATGATGAGTTTATTTTCATATTTGTCTAGATTTTGGCAAAACATTTATGATCTCTTTAATAGAATTAACATAATTTTTGTTTGTTAAATTTCAACATCTTATATTTGGATTTAATATCACAAATAGTAAATTCTACTTTTTTAATTATCTAATAACGAAACTCAGTGTTTGTCTGTCTACGGGTCATATTATGTAGCCGAGCAGAGAACAAAATTTATTGATGTTTATAGTATTTTTGAAAATTAATTTAATAAGAGAGAAGACACAGATAGATTTAAATCAGCATGTCTAATATTATTGTTTATTGAAAAGAATTTTAGCAATGATTAATCTTTGTATAGGACTCATTTTTATAAGTTGATAAGTTGAATCAGCTGATTATTTCCCTGGATAATCAGTGGAGTGTAATAGGGAAAATCAAGAGAAGCTTGGACTATTGGTGAGATTTGTAACAAGCACGATTTGATGAATAAATATCATTATGTTGTTACAAAAAAAAAAGATTTTAGCTAATTCCAGAAATGGCAATATATCGAAATAAAAGTTAATTAGTATACATATTGATTGATTGTTGATTGCCTAACTTCCAGTGGCATTTTTTTCATGCATGTTCAGGACGAGAACAAAGAAACAATAGATACAAAAGTAGGTCCTTTAATAGAGGCCGTCCTTGATGAAGGTCAAGGAAATTTGGACTGCGACGGGGAAATAAGGGAATATTGGATAGGGGCTGAAATTTAGCCTTGCAACAGGCCACCTAAGTACCCCTAAATGAGTTGCATTGGATTTAACATCCCCATTCGGACCGGACGTGGTCGCGTACATCCCG